GCGCCGAACCGAGGGGATGACTTGGCAAGGTGTTCCACACAGTAGTTTTCAAAACCAACCGCGCTGTAGTTTTCAAATCACCCGCGCTGTAGCTTAGCTGAACTGACGACAAGAGCCAAGATTAAAATTCTCAAACTTCGTGTTTTGTGCGCTGTTAATACATTGTAGTTGAACTGAATTTCTGTCATAATAACCAATGTTACAACCTGATTCTCCAATACTCTGTCATAATCCATATGAAAAACTCGTCTACAGTTTTATTTTGTGTTGTTGTGAGTAAATTCCATGTTACCATCGTTTTAAACAACCCCAAATAGTTAATGAATTAATAGAGTCTCTAGTCTACGGCGTCCCTAACACTCCGAGGAATTTAAGCCATTGTTAACCCACGTAACTGTTTTGTAAATTGTTTTGCATGTTGTATTTTTGTTTTGTTTATTTTATTTTCTGTTATGTTGTTGTTTGATAACATTTCATAAGCATTGTTTTCGGACACGGTTTAGGAAGGTTTTATCCGGTCCTTCCTGCAGTTTCTGTTTTGTGTAGTTTTTAATATTTTACTTTTCAGGATTTGTCATTTGTTTGATTGTCCGTAACTTTTGTTACCGTTTGGTTTTTGTTTTTTTTTTCTTCTCATTCACACTTCATTTTGATTTTCTCGATTGTTTTACATGACTGCAGGAAATAAACAATAAATGCTTTCCTTCCAATTTGAGTTTTATTCGTGCCCTTTCCATTTTGAATCTCACGCATGCGCATTCGAACAATTTGCCCGCCAATTTTTGACAAACACAACGTAGGTTCCTAACCACTTCGATGACGATCACGATTTTTCGGCCATTTTGTTTTCATTTGAATTTGGCGCTCAAGTATTCACTTTCGGCGGGCAGGGTATGGCCTTTTAGGTCATCACAAACTGGTCGGGGACATCTACGCAGTATAGAGATACACGGAGTAAAATATGCATTTTTAGTTGGAGACGGAGACAGTAGCGTGTTTAAAAAATTACAAGCTGCCAGAGTCTATGGAAATTTTGAAATTCAAAAAATTTAATGTTCAAATCACCTTCTACGGAACTACTCTAACAATTTAAAACAATTAACAACAAAAAGATTTACTTCAAAAGGTTTGGTTGTAGACAGTACTTTGCGGTCCTCCCTAAAAAGTAATATTCAAAGATTGAGAGTGGCAGTAGATTGTGCTGTAAAACATAGACGGAGCGAAAATGTTACTTTTCAACAAAAAGTTACTAATCTTAACAGTGACATAGAAAATGTATTTCACACGTTTTTGGAGAGCACACCAAGTGTGCTACATATTTCTGCACAGGCTCGAAATCAAACGAAGTCAATCTTATTCCACCTTTCAAAGAGTGTGATTTGTATAACGATATTATGTCCCATGCTAATCGTTTAATTTATAACAGTAGAAGTTTAATTAAAAACATGACTAACAACCACGCAGAAACTTACAACAGTGTGGTGGCGAAATTTATTGGGGGAAAAAGAATTGATTTTTCGAAAAGGGGAGGTTACTCTCTACGATGTCATGCTGCAGGAATATCGTTATATCACGGAGCTGAATATCATTCAGCTCTACATAGAGCTGTAACTGGAAAAAGTCCGGGACATTATACAAAAAAAATCATTTTAGTTAAAAAAAAAGGGTATCAAATTTGTTATGCAGAAGAAAACTCTTCGCCAAAAGACGTAACAATACAAAAAAAATGTTAACACGGACCATCAAGGACCAGACGAAGATTATGGAGATGTTCAAAAAATTATTGATGACGAAGATTGGTTGAGACGCAAAGAAAGATTTCTTACAGACATTATTAAAACTAAAGAACAAATTCTGGAAGTAATGAATCAAACAATAAACCAAAAAGATTCTCTGTTTTGGCACCAAGAAAGGCGAAAAAGAGTTACCGCTTCTACGTTCGGAAAAATTTGTAAACTAAGATCTACCACGGACCCAAGGAAAACAGCGAAGCAGATGCTTAAAGCTTTTTCATCGGTTAGTACCGACTATGGTATTGACCATGAACCGATAGCTTTAAAAGAATTTTCAGAATTTATCAAACAAAGCATACAACCTTGTGGACTCTTTATCGATGAGAATGACTGCTTTCTTGGTGCCACACCAGATGGTCTTTTAGGCGAATTAGTGGAAGTTAAATGTCCATACAGTTGTCGTAACCAAACCCCTTTGGAGGCCATCACAGCAAAAAAAATGTCGTCCTTTATGGAGTTAGTATCTGGTGTATGTAAACTCAAAAAGACACATAATTATTACTACTAGGTACAGGGACAATTACATATAACTGGTAGAGATTCATGTTATTTTGTAGTATGGACGCCAAAAGGATTTGTTTACGATAAAATTGGGCGAGATGATGAGTTTTTTAATAAAAACATGAAAGAAAAATTAAAAACATTTTACTTTCAATATTATTTACCAGAAATTTTAATATTGGAACACATATAAAAATTACATTTGCTAAATTTTTGTTGACATATTTTTTTGCTCAAAATACAGACTGATCCAGAAAGACTGTTTTGTGAATAGGTTCTGCGTCTCAACCAATTTTTATCTTTTAGTAGATATTTTTTTGAACATTTTTGATTTCTTTTTAATTTCTTCCGAAAAAATTCCCTTCTATACAATATGTATTGAAAAATAAGTGTTACAAACACCCTCTTTGTGATTTGAGTGTTGTAAGATTTGAGAAGTTGGAACACTTATTTTTGCACTATTTTTTCTATCAAGCGCCTTTGAAATTGCATTTTTATTAAATTACACTCCATCAGAAATATGAGATATTATCTACCATGTGATCATTTTAAATTAGAATTAGAGTAGGCTTTAATATTTTTTAACTTGTATGAAAACGCTGATTATCCATAATTTATCAAGCTGAAAAGTCAAATAATATAATTTCGAACGGTAATATTTATTAGAACACATTTTTTCCCTCAGTTTCCACTAGTTTATCATTTTACCACAAAAAACGGCCTTCTCTAATAATAAATTTAAATGATCGCATGGTATTATTGATTTTTGTTTTTTTTTTTTGTGTTTGTAAAAAATACGTAAAAGAGAGATTTACAAGAAAATGTAAGCTGCATTTTGTTGCAATACATATGTACATAATATAATAAACTTATTTTCTAACATGAAATTTATTCTTTTGTGTATTACGTAACCAACTGATTTCCTGTTGAAAAGAAAATTTTTACCCAACCCAATATTTTGAGTCCGTACAGTATGAAAAATTAATAATATTTGAATACCAAAAATAATAACTACGTTATTTCCTGTCTTGCGATCAAACGTCGGCAGTGTGAGCTACTTAGCTTTGAAAAACTAATTTATTGCAAGGGCCTGTGGACTGTCCTAAGCCTAATTTTTTGGTCGAGCCTGGAGCCGAACATTGCAGGCGACCAGTTGTAAAGACAGAATGATGTCAGGAGTTATTGACGTACATCACTTGTATGGTCGGCTACAGGCCACATGCACTTGCGATGCAGCTCTATTTGGCATTAAAGCTTGCTCACGCCGCAACATGTAGACCAATGCAAATAGGATAGACAGAAAGTGTGACTTCGTCTAAATAGAAGAATCCCCTTAAGAGGTTTTGCCCTACTTGTTTATAGGTGTTTATAAAAGTTTTTTTTTTTAATTTAATTTTATTTTTTTATTGTTTCATTTATGTTAATATAAAATGTTTTCTTTAATAAATTAATAATTATTGTGTTTTATTAAACAAATATCAATTCAATTAAACAGATAAACGATGTAGCAGCACTACAGATGCTACATTTAATGTGCAGACTAAAAACCGAAGCAATATACCTACGGACTGAGGACTCGAAAGGTGGTACGAGTACAATAAATAAACGTATCATTAGTTATTAGTATTATTTATTACTATTTTTAAGTTTTTGAAGAATACACCTCGCATATAATGTGACTTCACTTGTATAATTAAATAAAACTGTATGCCTGACACAATACTTGATGGGTTTCGGCTGTCCGGCTGCCGAGATTCAAAACCAGTGTTATTTTCCAGGCATTTTTTAAATAAAATGTGACACTCACCAACATTTTTTAAAGTTTTTAGCTGACGTAAAAAAATCTTAAGAGCATTCGGTGTCATTTACGCAGCACTTTTTATTAGAAGTACAGTATTTTTGAAAGTATTTTAACACATATAAATGAATCGTAAAGCACTTGGTGTGGTTGGGCTGGCTAAGTCAGCCAAACTTTTTCGAAATTAAAAACCAGTGTTATTTTACCAGCACTTTTTGAATAAAGTACAGCATTCGCCAGCATTTTTTAAGGTCTTTTAGCTGACATAAAGAAATCGTAGGCACTCGATGTGGTTAGGCTGTCGTTAAGTTAGCCCAAACAATATTTAAATAAAAATAATGCCGTTATTTTCCCAGCACATTTTATTTGAAGTACAGCATTCGCCAGCATTTTTTAAGGTCTTTTAAATGACATAAAGAAATTTATCAGCACATGAAGTGGTTGGGCCACCGTTAAGTTAGCCCAAATAAAAAAACTTAAAAAATCTTTAAATCTAACGTAGCATTTTTTAAATAACTAGCAGCATTTTTCAGCACTTACCGAGCACTTTTGAATGACGTATGTGTCTTATAAAAATTTAAAAGTGGTTGGGCCAACTTAACTCACGTCAGCATTTCGCATGTCCTAGATATATTATTTAAGTTTCGTTAAAAAGATTTATCTATTAACAAAAAATCGTCCAGGTATAAAACTGACAAAAAATTGTGAGCTCTTAAATATGCAAGTAAGGGTTTCATTAGTTTGGTGAAGACATACGGTGCTGTGCTGAGGCCGAACGGCATGCAAGTGTATTCAAAAAGTTTACCTTAAAAGGTAAAGCGAAGGTTTTCCTATGACACCTTTTGACGGGAATTAAATGATAAGCATCCTTAAGATCTATCACAGCCATGAAACACTTGGGAGAAAGCAATTTACAAACCGTCTTGTGGTCTTCTAATTTAAAGTGGGTAGTATTTACAAATTGATTAAGGTGTTTTAAATGTAGAATTAGCCTACTGGAACCGTCTTTTTTGGGCACCAGAAATATATTTGATATAAACTGACTTCGTTCGGCAGAGCACTGCCGAACTGCTCCACACTTCAATAATTTGTTTAGTTGAATTTGAATGTCAGATTTCTCTTTTGGAGACCAGTTTCGTTCTTTCGGTGGTGTTTTTTGGCACGTTTTGTGATGGAAAGGAATTGTGTAGCCCTGTATCCGTGATAGGAGAGTAGGATCTAACGTTATTTGACGCCAATGATCGATGAAAAATTTTAAACGACCACAGTAAAACTCTATATCTAATATTTCCTCCGCGAATGATCTGCTTTGGGGGCTCGAGGCCGGTACTTGTAATTCCGTCGTGTTTGGTCTCCCCTCCCTAGCTCCTGTTTGCTCCGAGATTGATTCTGTCTGCCTCGATTCTGGAAGTATCGTCGAGACAGACTCTTGGAGTTTAAATGAGGTTGGTCTTTTGGGAAGTTGACCTTTCCTTTAGAAACCTTCAGTTCCTGTGACGTCTTCTCGAGCGCGCGAGTCGATTTCATTCTTTCGCTCAGATTGTCACCAAAGAGCCAGCCGTCTACCGGAGTTTCGGTCAAAGTTGACTTGAATGTCTTGTTAATTCCTGTAGAAGCTAGGATTCAACGCGATTGTGATTCAGCGAAATGTACTGACGCCATAAGTTTCCCTGCATCGCCCAATAATTCAATTAATTTTGACCAAGCTTTTCCTTCTTCTTTAAGGCAGTGAGTCAGAGCGGTTCCAACGGCCCCCATTGCGGCGCCAACTTGGGTTTGCACGCGAACAAGTCTTTCGTCACGCTCAACATGCTGCTGCGTGATGGCCTTTTTCACTTCCAAGTTCAATTTTCGAGCCTCGACCAATTTGCAGTTGGCTATTAGAGGATATTTTTGCAGTAGCTCTTTGATTTCCTCCGCCCCAAGTCCTTTTTGCAAGACTTGCATCCAAACTTGCGCCACTTCATTGTGGATGGCCTCTCCCGTAATGTCTGCCGTGGGGCCTTGAGAGCCCAAGATTCTTAGGATCTCCGGTGGCAGTTGTTTTGAGGGATGCGAAGAATGGCTTCCTTCTTCATCACTCCCTAAAAGAGGACAAAAGATTTTAAGATTAGGTCTAGTTTCCCACAAGTCAATAAGAAAAAACGATAACCTCAACCTCATTGAGGACAAATTTCCAACCAAAACTCATTGATTGTTTATTTTTATTTTTTGTTTTTCCGGGGCCTTTTTGACTTATACCAACCATTTGATTCGATGCAGGTTAGGTTACTCAAAACTCGTTGTGTACGAAGCCTTCTCAAAACTCGTTGAGGATGGCTCTCTAACCATTTCGATTTGATGCCGGTTAGGTTACTCAAAGCTCGTTGAGTCCGAAGCCTTCTCAAAACTCGTTGAGTATGGCTCTTTAACCATTTGGGTTCGATGCATGTGCATAATTGAAAAAAAAACGTGGAAAAACATTCGTTATTCAGCATTAAAGTCATGTGACCTTCAACATTTTCCGAGAAAACTCACCCTGATCGGAGTTCTCCGAATCCGGAGACGTAACCCGTTCCATCTCGCTTCCACTTGAGGAAACGTTGATGCTGCTCTCTCTGTGTGCACGTGCTCTTGGATAATGATAACTTTTCTTTTTCTTTTTCTTGAGACGTTCAACGTCTTTCAGGGCTTTCTTTAACTGTTTTCGTACCATAACCAAATCAGGCTCGTCCGATAAACTTGATGAATATCTTCGTTTTTTCGCTGACATTTTTCGACAAACACAGGCGAGAACGATGAAACAACGATGTGCACCATCCGACACACAAATGAGTAATGAAAATGCGTCGCAAGAGGGAGCATCAGATGGTAAGGAAACAAAAATTTCTCTTGCTTTAAAATGTGTGCTGCCATCTAATGGAAATGGGTATACTACGTAGTGATCTAGAGGACGAGGCGCGCAATATAAAAACATTTATGAGAGTTGGGATGAACTGGGCGAGTAATCGGGTAATAAGAGAGTTACTTCAAAAAAAAAAAACTTTAACATGAACGGAATAGTAGAATGTTTACTTTTTTATTTGATTTCATTTATTTAGTTTTAATTTATAATATTTTCTAAACTTTAATTTCTTTAATAAATTGTTATTGTTAATTTAATTACTTAGATTTATGACTGCTAAATCCTTCATCTTCCCAAAGTAATTGGCTCCACAATATACAGCTGGAGAACTTACCTCAAATAAATTTTATTCTTCTTGTGGCGTAACCCGCTCGGACCGTAAAAGAATTAAACTTTTATCAAAGAGTCTTAAACACCCGCCACATTTTTCCTTTTCATTGTAGTTATGAAATTGTTGTCCCGGGTACAAACGTACGTGAATTGTTATCTAATATGATGAATCAAATTGTTACTAATTTTGAATCATTTACAGCCAGAAGTACTAAACATAGATTCGATAGAATGATAGAATTAAAATTACAATCAAATGCATATACTCCACTTAGAGGTGGTACTTATATTGAATTACCAAAATTCATTAAAGATAAAAAATGCTGTATTAATGTTAAAAAATGGAAAACAATGGATAGATTTATATTTAGAAAAAGTGTTAAACACATGAAAACTGATAAAATATATAACCTTTTAATATATAATAATCATTGTGTCTTTATTAAAAATAAGAGTTCACTTTTATCAGGTCAAATTAACAAACTAGAACATAAAAATCTATTTTGTCTGAAATGTGACGATTATTTTGAAAATGAGAAAGCCCTAAATGAACATTCAGAGTGCGCCAGAACTTATATTTTATAATCTGATAATAGGTACATAATGTATGTAACAAAGTTTTATATTCAAAAAAAGAGACAGGGTGCGCCAGAACTCGCGCCCCAGAGAAAATTTCCAAGTAAGGTAAGATACCAGAAACATGAAAAAAATGTTTAAAAAACTCTATCTGTCAAAAAATTTTGACATTTATTTTTTGGCATTCGACATTTTTTATATTTATTTAATGATACTGATGATATTGTATATGTTTTTTTTTTGCAATTATATAGTAAAGAGACAAAAATTTTACCAATAAATACCACAAATAACATTGAACAGAGTTACAATTTAGGATACAGCTTCCTTGTTTCCTCTTTTAATAGCCTATAGCAAAAAAACTTGGAAAATTATTTTTCCAATAGAAATAAATAGAGTCAAAGTGCAAACTTTGAACCTTTATAACTTCGAAATTTTTATAGATATTTTTTTTTTACATTTTTTCCATGTTCCTGGTATCTTACCTTATATGGCATTTTTCTCTGGGGCGCGAGTTCTGGCGCATCCCTGTATACCTACTACTCGCAATAGTATCTATTGTCAAACTTTTGATGATGCGTAGTATTCAGAAATGCATGTAAATCCCGTTAGCATGGAATCACGGATATTTTATCCACTGGCTTCTGTAGTTCATGCATACTATCTACAGTGTGTCCCCGGATAGTTAAAGACTAATTTCTAACATAATTTAAGTTTTGAAAAATCAAGTATGCCTGGGAAATTTTCAAAAAACCTATTTTTCTGCAGAATAAAGTGCCTTGTGTGTGGCAAATACAAAGGTTATTAAGAAAAGTTGTTTAGATCAACATCTAGGTCCGTATACCAAATTTCAAAATCATCGGCCAACTGATTTGTCAGTATTTTTTATGTTTATTATTCACAAATTAAAGAATTTAATTTTTTAATTTTAACAGTTCTTTTATTACAAATAAAAAAAATACATTTAGATTATTAGTACTAAATAAATGTTTGACGTTATGGTTAATAAAAAGCAATTACCTCAGAAAAAAATTAAAAATCATAGTTAGTCGATGATTTTCAAATTTAGTATACGGGCCTAAATGTTGATTCTAAACAACTTTTGTCGTATTTGCCACATAAAAGGCAGTTTACAGAAAAATAGTTTTTTTGAAAGTTTCCAAAGCAATAATTTTTTTCATCTTTTACAAGAGTCGTTTCACTTAACCGGAAACACACTGTATAGCAGGACTTCAAGTTTGAGAGAGAAAATAAATTTGAAAGAAAATTACAATTCTTGGCACAAAAATCGCAATTGTGTTTCTCCGTTACTATGCGTTACACCATTTTATTTACCCTTGCTGTAAGAGTGTTACTTTATCTCCCCTTGCGTTTAAAGTGCTAAAAGTAGATCGACTCAAAAGAGTTGATAAAGAAATAGTTTAACATCTGCTATAGAAAAAAATACATTTTTCTATTTTGGTATATCAGAAAAAATAGTTAAAAAACCACCTCTCATTGTAATATTCGTGTATTTGTTACACTCATATCGACATTCGACATTTTTTTATATTTATTTAATGATACTGATGATATTGTATATGTTTTTTTTTACAATTATATAGTAAAGAGACAACAATTTTGCCAACAAATACCACAAATAACATTGAACGGAGTTACAATTTAGGATACAGCTTCCTTGTTTCCTCTTTTAATAGCCTGTAGCAAAAAAACTTGGAAAATTATTTTTCCAACAGAAATAAATAGAGTCAAAGTGCAAACTTTGAACCTTCATAACTTCGAAATTTTTATAGATAAAATTTTTTTAATATTTTTTCCATGTTCCTGATATCTTACCTTATATGGCATTTTTCTCTGGGGCGCGAGTTCTGGCGCACCCTGTATAGAAAACTGTATTAATGGTAAACAAATTGAAATTTTACCTGTACATAATGTAAATGATATTAAAAAATATAATTCCAACGGTGCTGAACAGCTTCATCCTTATACAATATCCTTAGATTTTGAATGTACATTGAAAAAAGTATGTGAAAGGAATAAGAAATCTGAACTCATTCAAGAACATATTCCAAATAGTTTTTGCTCTTATGCGTCAAATATTTATGATGATATTATGAAAGCTGATTTAAAATGTTTCAATAATAATGGTAAAGAAGATTTAATGAAAGAGTTTAATCAAGCACTTATTGATTATGGAAAGAAATATAACCATATTCGAAATAAAAACACTCCAATATTCAGAACAAAAAAGGTTAAAGAACAATTCGATAAAGAAAGAAAATGTCACATATGTGTATATGAATTTCAATGTCCAGAAGATAAAGTATTAGATCATGATCATATGGATGGATCACTTAGAGGCGCAGCATGCAAGATATGTAATTTGAATCTGAGATTACCAAATTTTATACCAGTTTTAAAACATAATCTAAAATATGATTCCAAGTTATTTCTGAAATGGATTTTAAAACTTAGTGAGAATTACTCAGACATAAATATAATTCCTAAAACATTTGAAAATTATATATCGTTTTCGAAAAAGGTTATTGTTTATACATACCAAAAACGCTATGATCAATCAATATGTAAAAAATGTAAAACTATATATAAAGACAAAATAATAGGAATATGTATTAAATGTGATGAGGGTAAAGTTGATCAATGTCATCCTATAATGATGAATATAAATAATAATCAATCTGAATGTACAAAATGTAAAAAAATAATTAAAAACAAAATAGTACAATTATGTCCTAAATGTTATCCCAATATAGCCATTATTAAGAAAGGTGATTTAAGAAATGTTACAGTTGAATTTAGGTTTATAGATACATTTAGATTTAAATTTTTAAATGAAATGTAAAATTTCTTCCAATTAATAATAATAATATTCTAAAAATATCTGCAAACTGTAAAATATGTGATAAAGAGGTATCAAGACCGGCTGATTATAATCAGTTTACAAATATTTTAAATGAATTTAAGAAAGAAGATCTACATTTAGTTTTGCAAAAAGGTCTTTATCCATATGAGTGGGTAGATAATTATGAAAAAATGTTTCACAAGGGATTACCAGCAAATTTAGACGATTGACACTCTAAATTAAATGGAGAAGGAATAGATAAACAACAATTAAATCATGCAAAAAATGTTTACAATCACTTCAAGTGTCAAAATTTCAAAGATTATCATAACTTGTATTTAAAATTGGATACAATTCTCTTAAAAGATGTATTTGAGAATTTTAGGCAAATGTGTTATATAAATTATAAACTTGATCCAGTTTATTATATTTCAGCTCCAAGTCTGGCAGATGCTGTTTCCTTTAAAATGACTGGACAAAGATTAGAACTTTTAACTGATTTATGACTTTATAAAATGTATGAAACTGGGGTGAGAGGTGGAATATCAATGATTCCAAATAGACATGCCTTAGCAAATAATTGTTACTTTTATGATGAAAAAACAATGAAAACAGTTAAATTACCAAAGGAAAAAGCTGAAGAAATAGGCATTTATAACAGTAAAAAACATTTAAGTTATATACTATATTTAGATTGTAATAATTTGTACGGTCATAGTTTAAGCCAAAAGTTGCCTATAGGTAAATTTAAAGAAGAAAAAAATATTTCTACATTTACATCAGACTATATTTTAAATTTGTCTGAGGATGCAGAAGAAATACTAGATAAATTACATAACTACCCATTATTACCAGAACACTATATTCCAAAGATTGAAGAATTATCTGATTATCAAAAAGAATTAATTCAAAAAGGAATTGGTAAACTTAATACTAAAGTAGGTAAATTGATAGATACTTTAAATAATTATATAATTGATTACCGAATGTTGAAAGAATGTCTAAAACAAGGAATTATATTAAAAAAAGTTATAAAGGTAATATCATTCAGACAAAAAGCATGGTTAAAACCATATATAGAAATGAATACAAAGTTGAG